TGACTATCATACATACCATAATAGAGTAATAGCATAGGGAGCCCTAATTACTATGTAGTTGACCGTGAGACCACAACACTCATATTTGGTATCCTTATACATGATTCATATCTCATCTTGCTTAATCATAATTCATTACTTGCACATGTACTTGACCTGGCCATAATTGGCTCAACATAGGTAAACCAGGAGTCGTATAATTGCACTTCATCGGGATAAACCCTCGTGCAAGTCATCCTCCTTAAATATCATAATATCACCATGAGATATATATTTTCCCACTTGTACATCCAAATACATCAATCATGAATGTCATACCCAATCACCTTTTCGAACCATCATAAGGCAAATCAACAGTCAAGCCCACAATTTGCAACATATACGAAATCATCAGCATAAACATGGTTCATATCGATTAGGGCAAGTCAATAATATCATACAGCAATCCAGGGTTCAACATATCGCACAAAAGTTCATACACCCCTAATCATGCCATTCTAGTTCACCTAGGTCAATTCTAAGCATCAATATAATTATCGTAATACGACAAACCCGGTATGCCGTGCTAATCCCTCACCAGTTCTGGTCGTTCAAACACCGGTTTAAGCTTCCCGTATTAAAACGTCAATTTCACGAACGAACCCCGAATTAAAATCCGAGACCGTCCTAATATCCCCTGCAGTATCGCCGTCAATATTCGTTATAGGCTCCGGGTCAAATTCTTGATAAAAACACATCAAACCCTGGCCGGAGCTAAATTCAGCGGTTTGGACCCCGGCCTAAATAATAGCCGAAATTCAGGGATTAGAACTAGAGGATTGATTACCTCGCTGCAGGAAGCTCGTATTTGAAATTTGGGCTCAATCCGGCTTTCGGATACTCCGAAACCCTAATTTGGCTTATCGGGAATTCAAGAAATTCCTGAACCAAAATCTCGTTTTAAAGCTCTAAATCGATAAATCATGATGTATAGATGAATTAGGCATTACTTACGGGATTTTTGGATCAGTGTAGCTCAAGAATCGAGCTTGGGAATCTCCCCTCGCGATGCCCTGTGCGCCTCTCCGCTCGCTCTGGTTTTTGCCTCTCGGTGGAAAATGGAATAGATGATGATGATATGAATTAAATGGACAGGAGGTTATATATATATATAATTAATACGTATACTTATCCGATCGATTGATAATCCGATTTTTGTCGAAATAGTGCCGAAATACTGTTAAAACGCTTGATTTTAAATCGCGAACTTTCTAGCGATCGAAAATATGGGTTTTGCCGGAACGGGATGTTACACTCTCCCACTTTCCCCAATTTAGTTTCTCCGCCAGAACCCAGAACCATTTTGACTCCCCTCTCTCCCACTTTTCCCCTCTCTCTCACTTTCCTCCTCTCACAAAAACGACGAAGAAGCAAGCGAAGCGGCGGCGAACCAGTGTTGCGGCGGCGAGCAAAGCGGCGGCGAGAATCGGGGGCGACTTTGCAGACGAATCGGCGGCGACGAACGGCGACGAAGCTTGTGTTGACGGCGGCGACTTTGCAGACGAATCGGCGGCGAAGAAGGGTGGGGTTTCACGCCTACGACTTGATCCGGGTTTTCCTTTTGTGGATTTGTCTTTTGGGTTTAATTATACTTTGTTCATGAATATTCATTTTCGTTTGGACATATTTGAGTTAGGGTTTCATGGCTACGATCGGGTTTTCCATTTGTGGATTTGTCTTTTGGGTTCGTGGGTGAAATATTTATTTTGTGGTAACTTATATGTCACTGGATATGAGTTCGTTCTTCTGTGGATGTTATTTCTGGGTTTTGTGGATTTGCTTTGTGTTCCTTCCGATATTAGTTCTGTTCGGCAAGATATGCATTCTGTTCCTTCTGGATATCCGTTGTTTATTGCCTGGGTTCTTGTTTAATGTATCTTGATATTGGTTTTGTTTGAGCATGATATCAGTTATGACTTTCTTGGATAGTTGTTTGATAGGATCTGGGTATTTGTATGTGCAGAGATTTATCAATGGCAAGGACTAAAACAACCAAGAGGAAACAGTCGACCGACTCCACGACAGCCATCACCACCGCCTGTTTTGTGTGCGTTCCGATATGATTTATTTTGATTATGGATATCCATTGTATTTTGCTTGGATTGTTTCTTTGATATATCTGGATATTGGTTTTTACTCAGCATGATATGAGTTCTGACTTGCCTGGATAATTGTTTGATATATATGGATATTGGTTTTTAATCAACATGATATGAGTTCTGACTTGCCTGGATAATTGTTTGATATATCTGGATATTGGTTTTTATCAGCATGATATCATTTGTAACTTGCCTGGATAATTGTTTGATATATCTGAATATTGGTTTTTGATCAGCATGATATCATTTGTGACTTGCCTGAATAATTGTTTGATATATGTGGATATTGGTTTTTGATCATCATGATATCAGTTGTGACTTGCCTGGATAATTGTTTGATGTATCTGGATATTGATTTTTGGTCAGCATGATATCTGTTGTGATTTCCTTGGATAATTGTTTGATATATCTGGATATTGGTTTTTGGTCAGCATGATATCTGTTGTGAATTGCTTGGATAATTGTTTGATATATCTGGATATTTGTACGTGCAGGGATAAAACGAACGTGAAGAGACATCGACGAAATCCACCGCCGTCACCACCGCCACAGCCAGAGGAGGATGAGAAAAAAGAAGATGCTGAAGTTGCAGCGCAAGTACGTGCACAAGGAGTAAATACCTTTAGATAGGGTTCAGTTTTCAAATACTGATTTTGTATCCGATTGAAGATGTTAGGAGTAAAGACCTTTGCCGCATGTTGTAGGAACGGGCTATCCTCCATCATATTATAAGGAACCGATTGTTTCCCATTGTAGTCTGACTCAGTCTCCTTGCGTCTTTTTTCAGCCAACAAACTACATTTACAAAGCACGAGAAAGAGTTTAGTGCCCAGACTAATATCCACTCAAACCAATATTAATATCTCAACTAAACAAAGTAATATTTAACAATAGCATATAAATATCCGGACAACGCTGACAAATATCCAACCATAAGGAACACCATCGACGACGAAAACCTACAAACATCCCTGCACAAGACAACTATTAATGACAATGCATAACTGAACGAGTGTAAAAAAAAAACTTAAGGGAATTAGGAATTGATATTATGCCAACACATGTCAACAAATATCTGTAAAACCCAGACTAGTATCTCATAATGTCATACCAATATTCGTCCTTTTACAAAAACATATCCTGTCAGGTCATGTCAATATCGGCCCAAAAAATTGATCTGGATATTGGTTTTTGGTCAGCATGATATCAGTTGTGATTTCCCTGGATAATTGTTTGATATATCTAGATATTGGTTTTTAACCAACATGATATCTGTTGTGAATTGCTTGGATAATTGTTTGATATATCTGGATATTGGTTTTTGGTCAGCATGATATCAGTTGTGATTTCCCTGGATAATTGTTTGATATATTTGGATATTGGTTTTTAACCAGCATGATATCTGTTGTGAATTGCTTGGATAATTGTTTGATATATCTGGATATTTGTACGTGCAGGGATAAAACGAACGTGAAGAGACATCGACGAAATCCATCGCCGTCACCACCGCCACAGCCAGAGGAGGATGAGGAAAAAGAAGATGCTGAAGTCGCAGCGCAAGTACGTGCACAAGGAGTAAAGACCTTTAGATAGGGTTCAGTTTTCAAATACTGATTTTGTATCCGATTGAAGATGTTAGGAGTAAAGACATTTGCCGCATGTTGTAGGAACGGGCTATCCTCCATCATATTATAAGGAACCGATTGTTTCCCATTGTAGTCTGACTCAGTCTCCTTGCGTCTTTTTTCAGCCAACAAACTACATTTACAAAGCACGAGAAAGAGTTTAGTGCCCAGACTAATATCCACTCAAACCAATATTAATATCTCAACTAAACAAAGTAATATTTAACAATAGCATATAAATATCCGGACAACGCTGACAAATATCCAAAATTTAAGTAGACTAATATCAAAGAATCTCAACTAAACAAAGTAATATTTATCAATAGCATATAAATATCCGGACAACGCTGACAAATATCCAAAATTTAAGTAGACTAATATCAAAGAAAGGCAAAGAAATGTTTTGCGTACTTGCTAAAGTGAATGAAAAACAAGTCCAACACATGTCAACAAATACCTGTAAAACCCAGACTAATATCTCATAATCTCATACCAATATTCGTCCTTTTACAAAAACATATCCTGTCAGGTCATGTCCATCATATTATAAGGAACCGATTGTTTCCCATTGTAGTCTGACTCAGTCTCCTTGCGTCTTTTTTCAGCCAACAAACTACATTTACAAAGCACGAGAAAGAGTTTAGTGCCCAGACTAATATCCACTCAAACCAATATTAATATCTCAACTAAACAAAGTAATATTTAACAATAGCATATAAATATCCGGACAACGCTGACAAATATCCAAAATTTAAGTAGACTAATATCAAAGAAAGGCAAAGAAATGTTCTGCGTACTTGCTAAAGTGAATGAAAAACAAGTCCAACACATGTCAACAAATACCTGTAAAACCCAGACTAATATCTCATAATCTCATACCAATATTCGTCCTTTTACAAAAACATATCCTGTCAGGTAATGTCAATATCGGACCAAAAAATTGTTTTATGAGCCTTCGGCCCATGGGCCCTCGGCGGGCAGCCCTTCCTAGGCTGCAAGCCCAGACCCGATTATTCCATCAAAAACCAAGTTTCCCGCCCAAAATTTCGGCCGCCCCAAAAATCTGTCCACCTCCCGCCCAAAACCCGCCCACTTCCTCCGCCCAAATTCTCGGCTCGCCTAAAAAGTGGGGTTTTTCTCTCTCCTCTCGGCTCATGGGTCAGTGAGTATCTACTCACAAAATACCCTGTGAGCAGTTTAACTTTTCCGCCCCTAACTGGCAGAGAAACACAAGCCGATGAACAAGAAAAGGAAGGCCGGGAAAGAAAGGCGCCGTGACAGGTTGAGCCGTCTTCCGGAACCCATTATCCATCACATCCTTTCCTTCCTCGCCACGAGATCCGCCGTTCAAACCTCGGTGTTGTCACGATCATGGAGGTCCGCCTGGAAACACGTCCCTGTTCTGGACTTCAGCCAGCACTCCTTCCAGCGTTACTCGAGCTTCCACCGGTACGTGGGGAATGTTCTGTCCCTTCGCTATCCCCTCAATCTGCGCAAGGTGAAGTTTGCAGACGGTGAGCGGAGGTCCGATGGCAGGGACGATTCTCTGGTGATTAGGGTAATCCAATACGCCTTGTCCCACGATGCTCGGCATCTGGTGATTGACAATGCGAATGACGTTATATCCCCTGACATTTACAGGTTCTCTGATTTGTTTGGCTCGGCCACCTCCTCCTCGAATTGCAATCTCGAAACCCTAGAATTGGAAGGTTTTGAGATTGATAGCGGGTTTGGGTCTCCTGGGTTTCGGATGCTGACTAGTTTGGATTTGTGGACTTGTCTGGTGGCTTGCGGTGAAGAAGAGGTTCTTGAACCTTTCTCCAACTTTCCTTGTCTCAAGCATTTGAGCCTCCGTGATTTGCTCGGCGATTTCCTCTTCCCTGAGATTAATGATCATCCCGGTCTTATGAAGATACACGGGCTCGAGTTGCTTAGTCTGAAACTGCACACTGTGAAGTTTTACCGCATCGAAATAGATGCCCCGAAGCTCAAATTCTTCGGTATCTGGGACGACGTTGAATGGTTGTATTACTCCAATTTGAGCCTTCCTTCTCTTGATCATGCTGATATCGGTCTCCATGGGAAATTGCGTTTCGACGAGGAGGACAAGGAATGCGTAGCGCTGCAGTTGATCAACCTGTTCCGGGGTTTGCAGAATGCGAAATCTCTGAACCTGTATAGAGACACCACCATTCCGGTAACAACCCTTGTGACTGCTTCTTGCATACATAAATGACTAGCGCAGGGCCCGGCCCGTTGGGCGGGTAAACTAAACATAAGCGTATCATTTGACAAACGTTGGAACATGAAGTCAAATGAAAATGAATTAATTTTTGGTCATTTTAATTTAAAAATTGTTCGGTTAAAGTGTTTATAAGAGCAGCTGAAATTTAATAAGTGGGATGTAATCTTGGGAACATAATAATAAGCATCACATTGGTAATGTGTTGCATGAATGATATATGAGATAAACTTAATTGAAAACGTATAATTTGTTTTGTTAACTTACAGTTACAAATTGATAAGTTATAGTATTTATAAGGGAAGCTGAAATTAAATAATTGGGTTATAATCTTGCAAACATAATAATAAGATCTTGCAACCATAATAATAAGCACTACATTGGTAATGTGTTGCAAGAATGGTCCATGAGATGACCAGAAAAATGTAAGTAGAAATACCAAATTCGCCCAACACAAACTGGCATCTGAATATGGTAATTGAAATTTAACCATTAGAGTATAAAAAAAAAAAACAGAACACTCTCTGAAATGGAACTCATTGTTGGAACCAAAAAAGTAAACATTATTATTCTGACAACGTACCCCCAGTCCGCCTGCTCTGTTAGCGGAGCCGTCAGATTGGGAATTCTTCTCTCTTATCTCATCTCCTCGCCTGAGTTGCGATAGCGGGACAGCTTATAGAACTGACGATGATGAAGGTAAGATCTGGTTAGTTAGTTTGCATGTCGAATTATTGGTACTTTCTTATGATTTAGGGTTCTGACATTTTAATTTTGTGGCTCTAATTATCGTAGAGGAAGAGGAAAGGGTCCCCGATTTGGATCTCTAGCTTGCCTGCTCTAACGGTGAAATCACCAGCTCAAGACGTCCTGTCTCTTATCTGGTCTCCTCGAATGGAGCTTCAACGGACAGATTGGCGATGCCACGGCTTCTCCTGGCAGCGAGAACCAACGACGATTGATGTTGGTAACGATGATGTCGGTGACGCAGCAGCTTCGGAAGACGGTGGAGGGTGTCGGCAACTTGGACAGGATTTGGGGCGTGAGTTCCTCCAACAACCCGTCGAATTGACTGCTTTTCCCTTGGCCCGTCGACATCTTTGGAGAGATAGGAATAAGCAAGATCTCAAAAAGACCCAGGAATTGATTCATTCAAGTTCCAGGTAACTATATTTGGCTTTCATTCTTAGGTCAATGTTCAATTAAACGAACTCGGAATTTATCGAGCGAATGCTGCAGAAGATGAGGATCCGAAAGTAGCCTAAGGAAAACCGTTTGCAGCAGGAGAAAAGCTGGAATTGTGGAAGGTAAGTTTCAAACTTCTTTGGTTTAATTGAGTAGTGTTTTTGATTGATAAAGAAAAAGGTCTGGTGTATAATAATAGTAGCAGAAACATTCCTGGATATAAGTAGGAAGATTAAATTCACTAACCAAGTATCTTTTAACATGATCAATACTTCAATTAGCTAAAAACCACAGGAGATAGATGGAGCAGCTAATTAATAATCTATGCGGGCAAAGAGTTCAACATCCATAATTGGAACAAATCTGCAGAAATTATCTTTGAAATAAAGCACTGTTCAAATACTTCACACCCTCTACCAGAATAATTTGCGAAGAACCAAATCAAACTCATTGGTCTGGCCGTTGAAATCTCCGAATTCAATCATAAACTTCAATGAATTACCCCTGAGAGCAGCTAGGAGAGTCCTGAAGTCATTGGTCCATTACTTGTCTGTGGCCTCAATGATACGGCTTGCTATCCAACGGAACTTGGTAGTCGTAAACATGATAGAAGCCTCATGAGGTCCAGTAGCAACAGTCAACCTCACCATAAACTTGAGATGCACACTTGACCAAAAAACAGTCACATCCTTGACTGTTGCAGTAGTAAGGTACAAATTCCCCTGTAATATGAACCACATGAAAGCTTACATTTGGGAATGGTAAGAGGATAGTTGATATTTCATTGGTCAAGTTAGAGCATTAGAGACACAGTGAAATCCAACCATGTTGTCCAGGCCAATAATTATGATATTCAATGGGAGCAAAATATGACTTTGGAAATTTTTGTAGGATTTGACCGAGTGTACATATAAACTACCTGGTTGTTGAAGTCAGTCTTGTATAGATTCAGTTCCGAAATGGAACATATGTCACTTAACCATATAGCATCCTCCAACGTGTAGTCAATGGCCAGCGGGACATTTTCTATACTGTAAATCAAGAAAAAATAATTCCAAAACATGAGAAAAAGAATAATAAAAGAACTGATTCTATTGAGCAAAGGTTAAATACTTACTTATCAAGCAGGGGGTGCACGTGAGGATAGTGCAAGTTGCAGTATACTTTAGTTGCATTTGAGCCCACACAATATTCTTCCCCTAAAACCATAACATCTAGAAACTCAATAACTACTAATATAAACTAAAAGAACAGCTTGGAAAATTAGACTGAAAACCATGTAAAAGACCTGCGAAGTGGCGGACAACAACGGAAGTGAAGACAACTACGGTTCCTGGTAAAGGATCATTAGGTGTCACAGCTTGAAATTCGTCAATTAGATCATCCCATAAGACGACATCAACTATAGGTCCCCTAACATGTAAAAAAGAAAGAGAAGAATGAATGGTCTGCATACGGTAAGCACACTTCAAATGTAGCCTATACAAAACAGCAACCAACTGACTCAATCAATTTAAGCTGCACTCCCTTTCGCCTTAAAATAGCAGCATCTTCGAACAGGACCTCTTCTTGTTCAACAGTTTCAACCTCCCCAATTAAATCTGATCCCAAACATATCGTTAGGAACACAATATGAAAACCAAACTGGCCAAATAAAGCTTTCTTTTGAATTAGAAATACCAGACAAATATTCATGGTTATGGACAGCAAAGGGAAGATCATGAGCAGCCAAAAACCGAAAGCTATATGTTGGTATGTCGGCTGCATTCTGGAGTTCCTCAATCACCGTATCATTATGAAAGCGAATTCGGATAGTTGCAGGAGAAACTCTATAAGTATCATCATATTCTTGGACCAAAAAGTTGCTCAAGAAATAGATCCTTCCCACGTGAAGAACAGGAGCAAACAACTGAACATTAAGAATATCAACTAAGGCCTGCATCTCTGTTCCCTAAAAGTCACAGTAAAAAATCTTTGAGTATTTTTAGTATTGAATAGTGTACTTCTCACTAATGTAAAGAATAGAAGGCTTAGAAAATCAAAGTACCTGGTTGTCGAGAAACAATATGTGGATTTGGTCAAGTGTTACACCATCAGGCCTCATTGTATGCCATAAACGCAGGAGCCTGACGCGAACAGCCTAGTCATCATCATGGAGGTTCAATTGGGATAAATTGCGGAGAGCCATCACTGATACCGCACGCTGAAAAAGATTCAGTATTTTGGATGGCAACAAACCTTTTTCACGGGCTGGAAATGTTCTTTATATAGCCTTGCAGGAAAGGAAGTTGGTTTAAGCTTGAGAATGAGTGGCATAGTTGAAGAACGTGGTGATCATGGCAGTTAGGGACGTATTATTTGTATTTATAATATATTTTAATAGGAAAGTGACAGGCCATGTTGGTCAAAGAAAGTAGCAGTACATAGTAAGCATCGGCTTAGTAACTATTAACATTTTTTCCCCTAAGACTTGTCTGGATTCTGACTAATAGTGTGACTGGTCTAATGCAGGGTTTGGTCGAATCATAAGTATGGTTCTGCATATGGCAACATTGATCTAGGCATGCTGTGAAAATGGAAGCAGTCAATGATCCTTTCATTGATGCTAATTACCTGGTCAGAGTTGGATTAGTAACTATTAACATTTCTTTTCCTTATACTCCAAAATGAAAAGGATCTTTGGTGATGTCAAAGTTGTTTAATTGTACTGGATTGAACTCTGAAATGTCATTCAATATGTTTCATTTGAAATTTGATGATGAATTGGCATGAGTATAGTTGTTCCCGCATTGAAATCTGAAAGCAAAGCCCATCCTTTCATTTTATGCGAAAATAACTTCTAATTCACTATATTTTATTGATTATATTCAGGCTTACATGGGCATACACGCAGAATATGAACCTGCAGCCGACGCTTTGATTGTAGGGTTGGTAATAGTTGTGATATAGCAGCGTCAGACATGATGCCACAACTGGAATGAAGATCCGCAAGTTAATTAAATTGATTGTTTGCTGGTTTAAGAGAGCGCGGGATAAAGGGGCCCATTGTATGAGCATGTAATGGATGCTGAGATAAAAACATAGGAGAGAAAAAACGTGTAAGAAAGGCATGATGAAAATAAAGATGTGTTTAATTCATTATTTGTCAAAGGATGTGATAAAGCAATTGAATTTGCCAAATATTGATCGTTCACGTATGCGGTTTGGAATTCGGTAGAGTTCAAGAATGTGACATTGTATTTTTTTATATCACTTGTATCGACCAGCTCCTCAACTACTGTTTTTGCAGCCAACAAAATAGGTACTTATATTGAAATCCATCAATCCTTGTAGGGCACAACGACCCATTGTCAATGTGCAACACAACAAACGGGAAAAAAGGAAAACCAGTAAACAGTTTCGACAAACACCCAGCAGTCTAGCAACAAAAGGAATTTGAACTGTTCTTCTACAGAATCAAAGTGGAACTACTAATAGGATATTGGTGACATAAAGTTCCAACCCTCAGATATCACTCTGGGTGCATCTTTCGTTTCAGTTTATTATCAGGTGTGATATCAACAGAAACGCCTTTGTCTGCCTCTTGATGTGCTGGATTTGGGATGGAATGTTGAGATGAAGTTTGGGAGGACTCAACTCCACTGGTAATTGATGAACATGAGGCATCTTTGTGAAGAACAGAAGCTGGAGACTGAGATTCGAAGTGGTGGAAAGTAGAAACAATTAGTAATAGGAATTTAAAAGGATTCAATGAAAGCTATTATTAATCAAGTACGAATCAGGTCATGCAAACATGTGTCCTAGTCATTGTACACAAAACATTATATCAGAGTTATAGGTCTGGAAGGTCTAATGAGTAGCTCACCTGTTCTGTGGGTTCCAAGATTTTTAAGACAGTGAAATCAGCTTGTGAATCACTGTAGAGATTTATCTTGAACTTGACATGAAATAGTTTGGTGACACCAACTATTTGGAGTAGATCTGGAGGGGGTACCTCATTGTTTTGACCCGTCCTATTGAAAAGGTCATTACAACTGACACCAAAGAAGCGTTTTGCTTCATACTCAAAGATGATATAGGTAGCTGGCACAGAATTGCTTTCAACATCAAGCTGTATACGATATCTGGAAAGGCATGAAATGGAAAGTAAGCATATTCAATGAAGTTTATAATTCAAGGGTCTGATGGAATTTATTTTGGAACTCAATGATATGGTATTTACTTGGCAGCTCTTGTTGGTGTTGGCTTGTTGCATTTGACACAGTAGTATTCTCCATGATTTCTATGGGTTTAAGGACACAGGTTGGACAGCCCATGTAACACCAAAATGGCTTGATTCCTACGACTTTGCAGTCGACAGCATACACACATTCCTAGTTGTAGTCGAAGTGAATTAATATTGGAGTATAGATTAGAGAAAACACCATAATGTAAAATTAGAGAAAACACCATAATCTAACCTCATTATCAGGGTCCAATTGAAGTTCCAGCAATTCCGATAGAGTAATATTAGGAATGAAGGGGGGTGGGGGTAATTCAACAAACACAGGCTGCTGTGGTTGCACATTCCTTTTTCAAAAGAAATAAATATGTTAATTTGACATTGGTTCAACAGTATGGTTCAGATATTCATTAGCAATTAAAAGATAATACCTGGTTGTGAAAGCCTTTACTTCTGGGATATCAAGGTTGGGACACAACACTGTTGAACCCGAAGAATTAAAGCAAAGTTCACCTGAAAAAGTAAATTGATGTAGTTCCTACTGATCAGTCACCCATATATCTCAAATGCAGCACAGTGTAAACAAATTTTGTACCTAGGAAGGGTTTGACAGAAACAGCAGTTACAACCAGTATGACTTGTTCATCATCACCAGGTTTGATCAACTTATCAAATTCAGCTACAACTCTTCCCCAGATAATAACTTTGACAACATCCCCTCTGTAAAACAACGTAGGCTTAGGTTTGAGAACATAAGTAATGCCTGAGAATGGATGTAAATGAACACCATACAATGAAGTGACGCATATGAATGTATATGATAAGAGGCTGAATAACCTATGATCTAAATTTATACTGCCTAGAAAAAGTACAACGTTGTACCCAAGCAATCATCAATCATTCATGTAACTCCAAATTCATATTGATACAGTCGTAGTAAAGATAGCTCTTACTCAATTAGTTTCAGTTGAAGCTCCTTCCGAATGGTTTTCCTAGCAAGATTCGTTGTCTTGATGGCATCCGAGTGCTGTACTACTTGCCCAACAACATCTATACAAAGAAAAGTGAATGGATATTAGCCGCAAGCAAGCACAGAAAGGAAATCAACCACTGAATAAATTGAGGTTGTAACCTGAGAGGACGACCACATCATTCAATTTAGATGCCATGTCACTTGCTTTGAGGAAACTGAATTTGAAGGCAGGAATGGAAGGGACATCAGGAACATGCTCAACAGTAGTCTTCCGGGAGAACGACATGATATATGTATTGGCAATGGGGCGATATTTCAGTTGGGTCGTGTGAAGCTCAAAGTTTTTAATGTTGTAGACCTGCTGTTCCTGCAGCAATCGTTTGAAGTGGTCTTGCAGCACTGGTGGGATATGCACCCATATATCATTTCCCTGGGGATTTAGAGAGACGAAGTAAGACAGACTGGATGATATGTGACGCAACTCAAGTTAATGTTAAGCACAGCCGTACCTTGGCATCCATCAAGATGAGATCGAAATGCATGACTTTATCAGTCGTCACATTGACACCCAACCATGCCCTGGAGACGCGACAATGACCTGACCAGAGTTGTTTCTCGGACTCAAGATCTCGGATGCCATTGAATGCCATGGTGTAGCTACCAAAATACATAAGCACTTAGTTATAGTGTAGGAATAGGAAGTTGGTTTGATGGAGGAATGAAGTGGGAAAAAAATTCTGCGAAGAAGAAGTTACCTGGCGGGCTTTAGCAAGTGACCACTGAAATCTAAAATGAGTCGAGAGATTTAGAGAAGGTATATATATGTGGATTCCAGTTGGGGCAGTTACCAATTACCCCAAGTTGGCAAGCAACAGCAACATCTTCGGAAGGTAACTGCTACACCAACGTGAGCTGCTTATTAAGGGGATGTAGAGCTGGAGATGGAAATCGAGGGAAAAATTCAAATGTGTCAGTTATAATCCAATGTAAATTTCCCAAGGACCGAACATCCCGCCAAAACAGAGCCAGTAGAAATTACCGTCCATGTTCAAGGAGTAACTCGGATTGAAAAGCAGCTCGGTTCCTTTTGTTCCCCGCTGCCGCCGCAAAGAGGGCCACATTCGGAGCTGAGGATTTGACTGCGTGACGTCTGATTCCAGGTGGGAACCATCTTCCAATCTGCTTCCGGTTGAATTGAACTGCAATGTTCGTGGTGGATGTAGTCTGGGCAATTGGTAGCTTCTTCCAATTAGGGATATGGGGAAATGGATATTTGGGGCAGGTGTTCCGCATGGGGAAGACCGGGTAGCTAGCGTCATCCTCAGATAAGCGATAGCTGCCGACGGGGATCCGAGACTGTGGTCGCAATTCGCTCGCCGGTGAAAGGCAATGGTAGCGCCGGAAATTTTTTGTAGTGCTCTAGCCTCTAGGGTTGGAACTCGCTGCCAATGCTGCTAGGAAGCCGCCCAAAAAAAAAAAAAACAAACCCCCCCCCCCAGGCCCAATTTAGAAAGGTGAAAACAATCAACTGGAGGGATTGTGTTGTTCCCGGTTCCGGCAACAATTGAAATCCCTATCTACAGGCGAGCTTGATTCGTAAACAGCTAGGTGGCTGCGCCTGGCGTTCAGAATGGCGGTGGGGCGTGTGATGATATTATAAATGGCCACCGGAAAGGTTGGGAGAGATGTGAGTCGACGGTGGTAGTCGATTTAGCTTCAACATGTGGACCGAAACCTACTCCACTGTTGTTTTGCGAAACGAAATTCACATATGAGATCTTGTTGTGGGCTGTAGATGGCCTGTAATGTGTAACAGGCCCATGTAAAATATGTTTTTGACTTGGTTATTTAGAATGGGTCCATTTATATATCTATCTACCTTAGAGAAGTATAAAGACAAAATCACATATCCTAAACTGAACTTTTCCCCTTCCACTGGCGGCAATAAAATTTGGGAGAGTGAAATGGGCTTTGGCACTTTTCTGCCAATTCATTTATCATTTGATTTTTATTGATCAAGTAGACTATAATAAAAGAAATTATCTTTCGTTAATTTATATTTAACACACGGCAAGATTTAATTGGGATGGTGCAATGGATTCATCCCAATGACGTTTTTCTCAGAGTAAAGGGTTTTTGGAATTCAACCCCTGCAACATTAGGCATAAACAAAAATAAGGCTTCCACGTCAGCATCTCTAAATAACAAATTGAAATCAACGAAAAAGTAATAATAATAATACCAAATTATTGGTTGGCATGCGTGTCAAAAGAAACAACAACAACAAAAAATTGGTGATGAATAATTTTATTCTTAATGGTTTCTATTGGTTTTTCGGGTTTAACCAAACCAAAACCATTAAGTTGCTTATTGGTTTAAAACCAAAAAACTGAAACCATTAGCTTTCCAATTGGTTTGGTTTTGGTTAAAACCAAAAAACCCAAACCAAATGGACAGCCCTAGTCACGTTTGGATCAAACAAAAACAAAAAACTTAGTAAGAAAAAAAAACCCCCCACCCACCCGAAGACGATTTAACTCCCTTCTTCCCTTCCCTCTTCCATCGCTCTCACCTACCCTCCAGTCCCTCAACAGAAACCTGACCATCCACATCCCCAACCCTCCATCTTCTTCTTCTCCTTCTTCCCTCTCCCTCCACAAAACCCTACGCTCCCACAACTCTCGCTCCTTCTCCCTCTTCGAACAATCCTGCCGTCAATTCACCGCTCGCGCGGACTCCAACAACGGCACCGAGTCACCACGTCACTATTCACTCGCCGGCGAAAAAACCAATTGTACAACCAAGCCATTGCATGCACTCATGTTCCAGCCCTCTCTGCCTGACCGACATTAGTTCCATCTCTACATCTCCAGGAGGTAAGTTCTAAAGTCCTACCTCGTAAAAACCCAGCCGAAGACGTTTCAACTCCCTTCCTCCCTTACGCCTTCCGCTGCTCTGCTCACTCTGCGACGAACAAAGCAAATGGACAGCCAATCCAGTGCATGCACTCATTTTCCAGTCCTTCTCTCTGCCTGATCGACGTTAGTCCTATCTCAGCATCTCTAGGAGGTAATTTCTAAAACCCTACCTCGGCAAAATCTGCCCTTTCCTCTCATCAACAACTTCAACCAATTTTTCCAGCCCACTCATAAATTACATTCGCTTGCTAGCCTTCAAATTAGGTTTCTCCAGATCTACTACAATCTTAGCATTCAGAATTTTTTTTTAGTTCGAGACTCCAAGGAAATAGTTGCAACCTCCACAGGTGAGTTAGAATCCATCCTTTCTGAACTAATGCGGTTTGTCTATTCAATTTATGGACATGAGTAATAGTTCTTTCTTGGATTTTAGCATAGCATTGATCCATAGTTTAGGACATATATGTCAAAATTATTTAGGTTGGTTCTGATTACATAGTGTGTCTTGCAGTCCAACTAAACTTTGTATGTTTGTATAATACGTAGTAGAGTTGAGTGGAAAAATTCCAATTAAAAATAAAAGAAGAAACCGTCAAAAGAAGTCAAATATAGGTCCACTTGTAAAATACATCGAAGGATTGACACATTCATGTATTGGTTTGCTATTGTTTGTGTATATTCGGTTTTACATAATTAGTTGATTAGTTTTACACCTCTAACATTTGTCGATATAGTTGCTAATATTGCTACTAATCTAAATTATAGGTTTTTTCCATGGGAGACTTCGTTACAAATCTGAACTATCAAATTGCCGTAGCAATTTGGGACACTGTGGAAACTATAGATCTTATCCCTATGCAATTGGATGTTGGTAATCAGGTGAATAAGATAACATGTTTTTTATCTATCCTTATCTATCTTTTATCTCAAGAATTTGCATCTAATTTGGTCTTATTTTGAACTCCTTATGTTTTGGGTTGTATCAGGGCAAGTCATACATTTTCTCTGGCGTGGTCACAGAATTGAGGAGATCTTGGTGTGAGGCATCCAGCATATACTTGATTCACTTGACAATTGAAGATGACATCACCGATGTTGAGGTCGTATTCCCATCAGCTTACTTACGGAGAATCATGTCTTCTGTTGTTAGTCCTGATGAGATTGAAGATGCGGAGTACGTTACACTACTCAACATGATTGGTGAGACGCCATATAAGGTCTTGGTCACATTCGGACCTTGGAACGACGTGGGGAATCATCTTGATCTCTTCTTGGTTAAGTTGTTCCCGGCTTTAGATAACTAAGTAGCATAGGGTATTATTAATATAATCGGATTAATGTTAGTAATGGTCCACCTCTTTGTAATCTCTAATTATCTAACCGCGTAATGGATATGTGAACGCAAATATTTTTTGTAAGTTTATTATCCTTTTGAGGTGGTACTTCATATAACCATATTTTGATCATCATATAATTTTGCTCTTTGTTTACTGTCACCTTCCTTGCTCTTTGTTAATTCCTTTTAAATTGTTGTACTCTAGACTGTAGAGTTGGAACTCGCTGCCAATGCATCTAGGAAGCCGCCCAAACAAAAAAAAAAACCCCCACAGGCCCAATTTAGAAAAGTGAATTTGGAATGTCTCAGGCCGCCTATGTGTAGTCATTTGCTATGGGTTTTGCCAAAACTCTGGGCCCCATTAATTCATGAGCCGCATAGGAAATAAGCCCATTTTTCCATTTAACATTAAGCATTTAAAATTTAGTCTTTTAAAGATGTTAAAGTGTCATTGTATATATAATATTGGTAATAACAGAATTGTAACTTCTACAAATGTAGTAATGTTTTCCTAAAATCGTAAGATCTCTTGAGTAATCTATGAGTACAAACTTTTCTTTTCATCAGTGGCCAGATACATAAGCTCAATGCTTAAAAACATATAGTCCATTGGATAAGTTGTATTTTTAAATCCATTAGAATATTTTACATATGGATATCATTAGTTTTTTTTACATGATGATAGTTAACATAGCTCAATAAACGATAGATAAACAAATTTTGTTTAAAAGTAAAAGGCAATAATTGTGAAAGAATACAAAAGCGTATACCAAAATGTTATTGCTAGGGAATTTGTGGTCAAAAAAATAAATAGCCAAACATCACACCTAACAATTGTCCATCAAAAAAATAAAATGTAATCATAAGTAAAACCTGAATTGAAGTTCATATAAATCAATCAAATATTTCTGGGAATACTATGTTCACCATTGAAGTGCCTTCCTCTCCATTCTCATTGGCACTCAAAATCTTCAATCCTTGCCTTGTAGTAACTCTTGACAATGCAACATATAGCTGACCATGACTGAAAACTTGTCTTTGAAGACATAAACCAACATTGGCTAGTGTTTGACCCTGACTTTTGTTAATAGTCATGGCAAAACAAAGAGCAACAGGGTATTGCTTTCTAATGAGGGTGAAATTAAGACTCTTGTAATGGGTTGATAATGTCAATCTGGGGAGGAAGACGCGATCACCGACATTGGTACCTGTCAAAATCTCCACCTCAATGAACCATTTACCCAAAGTCTTCACAACCATTCTAGTACCATTACAAAGGCCAACAGTTTGATCCATATTCCGTAATAGAATGACTGGACACCCAACTTTCAGTTCCAGCTGATGGTCTGGAAAGTTCCCAATCTTGAGGTTTTTCAAAAACTCGGTAGAATAATCAGCATCCACAACTCCCTCCTTCCCAGGGTCCATCTCAATAGAATCTGCGCTGAAATATGCCACTGCATCTCCTGGAAATTGACTTATAATATACTCATTCACTGCAGAAACCATATCATGGTGTGGAGCCAAGATAGCTCGATTGACTAAATAATTATGATCTCCTGCATGACTACTAAGATCACTGTATATAGAGGCGACAATATCAATAACAGGATCACTCTGTCGAGGAATTACTAATTCCTGAGGTATGCGAATCAAAGACTCACCAAACACATCTGAATCTACTCCATCTCCTACTTGCAAGAGCCAGTTCTGGAAAGTAGTTATCTCAACAGTTTCCTCTGGAGAGCAATTAGATCGTGCTAGCCTCATATTCTCAACTAATTTAATTACCCTCAAATGGGGCCAAAGGTAAGACCTCTTTATAGATGAGTTCACAATATCACCTCGTGAAGCTTTCAATACTATAGGCAAAGTTTGCCTAAAATCTCCTCCAAAAACAACTGTAAGGCCTCCAAAGGGCTTCCCCTGACTGTTTTCATACCGAAACCGCAAAATATCCTGCAATGATTTATCTACAGCTTCCACTGCATGCTTGTGTGACATAACAACTTCATCCCAAATAATCAATGAAGCACGCTGAATGAGCTCTGCTAATTCACTACCCTGGTCAATATGACATG